AATAAAATGTCCATAGACAAGTTCTGTTTTATTTGTCCTTTGAGAAGATCTGTTAGCATTAGGAACAGTAAGGATTTTTGGGTAAATATTCGGTAAATCTCAAGAGGTTCATACTGTCTGACACAAAAATAAGAAATAATCAGAAATAGTATGCCCTAGCTCTTTTCTTATAGAGAGCGAGAAAATAAAAACATGCTATGGCAAACCTTTCTTTAAATCGGTTTCCCTGGTATGACGGAATAACTATAATAACTTTACCACATCCCTCTAGTAATATCTTGCTGTCTAAATGCCAGAAAGTCTTAATTTCACTATGAGTATGTGGGGGGGAAGCAGGTGATTGTTTAAAAAGTATAGTATTAAGGTTTTGTAATCTTGTAGTTCTTTATACCTGTGGATGTATGACTGAGACCTCAGACTTGGTTCATCCTGTCCACTCACCAGAAGTCATGCTAATGACCTTCACCATTAATTTAGTAGATAATTACCTTCCACACTCGCTTGATTGTTGTTGTGGGGGGGCTTAGGAGACAGACTGGGGCTCAGTGTAGGGGATCACCCCTACCTTGGACCTCAGCCCTCGCCTCAAAATATTTTGCATGGTCTTTTCTTATCCCCCTCTCCTTTTCCTTCTCTTCTTCATCTTCCGTCCACTTCCTAAGGTGTGAAAGCCATGCTGAAAGGATGAAAGGCTGGCTTTGAAGTCATGAACAGCCTCCAGGAGCCATGGGCACGGTATTAACTCCGTTAGTTGCCTAGTCTTAACCTCATGGAGACCTTGAGATGTAGAATGTTTCCTCTCCCCATTCATCATTCTTCATTGTCTACCCCCACCACCCTTATGGCTACTCTTCATCCTTATTGTCCTCTTCCCAACAGTACTACCTCTCTCCATACCACTCCATCTTCCTCCCACCCTTGTCTTCTACTGCTTCCACCTCTGCAAACCTTTTGATGAGTATCCTTTTTGGCCCAGCCAATTGGAATTGATTCTTTGTGATTCACCCAACAGCCCTGTACTCTGACAATTCCCTTCTCTTTCAATGATGTCTCCAAAAACAGGTGGGCAAAGTTTCATTTTGCAATCGTTCATGTCTTGTCACGGTTAATTCTGAGTCCCAAGCTTGAGCATTTTCTCCTGTGAATGACCTCACTGGCAAACCTATTCCTGCCCAGCCTCTTCCCTCCCTTAATACTTGTTTTTGTCTCTCTGACTGATTGTTCTGTCTATGACGACGACTGGTCAGACTGAAAATTTCCCAAAGGCAAATGTAAGTCCTACACTGATATTGCCAAAATTAGCTTCTGTAGACATGACCTCCCCTATGATGTTTATGTTGGAGTGTCCTGCCAGAAATGTTGCCGTTTTAGCCACCCAGAAAAAATGCTGTCACTCCATAGCCTGCCCTCTGTGCCCAATTTGGTCATGACCATTTAAATTGCTCTGCTTATTCATGCATGTGTACCAATTGTGGTGGCTCCCATTATGTATTTTATAAGAGCTGCTCTGCCTACAAGCTTGACTCTGAGACAGCAATTCTCAGATTCAGACTAGACTTCATGCTACATGAGGGCAGACAAGAAGCATGCTGACGAGGTTTTTCTTTCTACCTATTCTAAAACTACTTTGCTCTGCTTCCCTTCCATCTTCTCAAGATGTCTTGGCATCTCCTCCAGTATCTCTTCCTTCTACCCTGAATCATCCTGTCACTATTGTCTCTCCCCCCATCAATTTCCTTTTCCAGTCTGAATCCAGATACTCCAATATCCATCACTTCCCTGGGTGCCTAACCCTCCTCCTACCTGTTCTATGTTCCATTCCATCATCTACCACATCCTCATCAGCTCCTCAGACATCTATTCCCTCTTCTCCTCCACAGAAGAAATTTTTTTTTCTCAGACCTCCCCACTCAACTCCTCTCCAGAAACTATTGAAGACATCCAAAAGTTCTAATACATGACCCAAAGAGAATGCTCCACTTCCTCATCCACCCTCTAATCCTATTTGCTCTACTGTCCATCCTCCTCCTCTTCAAGTTCCCCCTACCCCTCTTCCTCCCACACACCCAAAACACACCCCTTCCTCTCCTCCTCCATGTGCATCATCATTCCCTCTTCCTTTCCCATTATCCTGATCACTCCCACCTTCCCCTGTTCCTTTATCTCATCTTCTAGATTCTTCTACTTTTCCAACTACCATTCCTACTGGCAGGAATAGTGTACCACTGTACTGCCACTGAATCTTAGTCGACAAGTCAGGTGAGCAGGTTGTTTTCAGTCTGACCAATTCCCTCCTATCCCATGCTTGTTGATGCCGTTTGGGGCTTAGGAGACAGAGATTGAGGCCCTGCTTTGGACCTCGGCCCTCACCTCAACTAATTTTGCAGGATCTCCTCTTCTTCCTCTTTCCTTTTCCGTCTCTTCTTATCCATATTGTTAACTCATTTATCTTGTTTGCTACAATACTTTGCCTTGGTGAACCATGAAACTTTCTTACCTG